CACAGCACTTGGGGAGTCCTCTGCACATTTGAAGGAAAAAAATATATAATTAAAATGGGCCCACTTTGAAATAAATAAAACAGATAGCTGCAACCTAAAAAGAGTTAAAGGTAGGGTAGGTAAGAATGGAGAAACCAGCTCGAGTGTGCTAGAATTTGAATATACACAACCGGAAAAAATATGCCTCTTCCTTCAGACTTTCTTACAGAGCCCCTCCTCCAACACACACACGCATGAGTTATTTTAGCCGGGCCGGTTAAAATGATTGGTCGTGCTATTTACAGCGCTTCCAGAGATTAATTTTTGTATGTATTTATTGTCAAAGCATTTAATATATTCATTGCTATCGGGACGTTAAGAGCATTCCATGGAATATAACAAAAAGTGTTTTCTGAAATAAATTACATACCCCATTGAATTATGACTGAAGATCGTCAGCTGTCTTCCTCTCCCTTGTTGTTCCTCGATACGTAAAGGCTGCAGCACCGTTGACAACTTCTCTCTACATATCAAACATACCGGTAAACCAGCATCGTTTGCTGTGAAAGCATATAACTCTGTCCAGGCAGAATTAAATCCTGTGTTCGCTCATCGAGCCGGGGGTCAGGTTATTCACCCGCAGGAAAAGGCGCTCGCGCGGGACCGTAGCAGGATGTGACGCATATTTTAGTTGACCTAATTAAAACCGTTTTGTTTTTTATTTATGTGTCACAGTATCACCTCAAAATACAAGATACGAAACATTTTCAACCATGCAACAAAATATAAATAGTCCTACAAATACTTTTATTTTATTTCCTTCTTATTTTTGTCTAAGCTCAAGGGAGCCAGAGCAGAGGGTTTAAAGGGCCGCGGGTTGCCAACCCCTGTCCTAGGTACTATATTTACATTACATTGCATTTGGCTGAAGCTTTTATCCAAAGCAACTTACTTGTAAATGCTCAATAACATTTTGTTGTCTAAATACTTGTGCCCTATTGCAAGGACAATAACGTCTAATTTGATATAATTTTACACAAAAATGGCCTTAAATTGTATTCCTTATCTCTTACTTCCATGTCCCTGTCCCTCTAGTGGTGATATTATGGGAATATGTTTTGAGTATTTAACAATTAGGTTTTATACTTTAGTGCATATAACATTGAAACCATTTCCTCTGTCAGTGGCACACACAAAAATACACATAAATAATATCTTCATATGACTCGTGGCTTTCAAAAAAAAATTTGACAGAACGCTCGGACTGTGGTGATTTCAGACTGCTCTTTAATTATTTGCGGTCTTCAAGAAAATGTATTCATAGTATAGTAGCCATGGTTTATAATCAATTTGTATTTATGAAGGTCTGAGAGCATCAGTCAACCTGTTGTCTCTCCACAATAACAACAAACTGTTTTTACCAAACTCTGTGGTTTTCTCTTTTATTTGAAACCGTTTTTTGCTGCCTTAGTCAGGACTTCTTTGTAAAAATAAATTTGAATCCTAATGGGAAATACACCTGGTTAAATAAAGGTTAAAAAAAAGTCAATAACAAATGTATATATTTCTTGACAAATCAATGTACCAATCAGTGTACCTCTGTGAATATCTAAAGAGGATATTTCCTCCAGTCATAGTGAAAAATGTATCTGAAATGCTAACACACATCCACCCTTCCTCCGTCTCCTCCCTTGTTCAGACCATCTCTCCCTGCAGCGCTCTGAAGAGCTACGAGCTGCTGCACCGCATCACGGGGGAGGGTCTGTGCGTGGAGTACTGCTTCAGCCGCCAGCCGTTCCCCCCCGACGGCAACATGGTGTCGGTGCAGATGCAGTTCACCAACAACGCCACGTCGGACACCAAGAACCTGCACATGGAGGACGTGAAGCTGCAGAGCGGGATGAGGGTCAACGAGTTCACTGAGATCGGTGAGTCATTGTTTGGTGGGAACTGCATTTCTTATTTTCATGTAATCTAAAAAGGAAACCAGGATGACCTTTGCTCTTACTACAAAAACAACAACATAGGAGCAGTTTCAGAAGCTGCCAGAAAATGTTAGGTGGAATAAACAATATGTGAGGATGGCCTTTTTTTGGAGCCTTACAGTAGGGATATATGTGCAGGTTAAAGGTGGTGCTACGGTAATATCTAGCGATCGCCAAAAACACATACGTTTATAGTTTTCATTTTTGTGTGCAAATCAAATTGGATAATCGTACTAGAAAACAGGCCAGGGAATCACAGAAAAGGTGGAAATTCAACCTAAGTCCTACTTTAAAATGAAAAAAAAATGCAGAAGAAAACCCTTCAGTAAAAATTGTCAAGCATGTTGTTGTATCCATGCCGACAGCAAATATTTCCTCTGTCTGTTATTCAGCAATTACTAACTAAAAGATTATGTTGTTTTATTTGTTTGTATGTCAACACTTGTGTTTTTGTTTGTGTTGTGTACAGAGCTGCTGCCGGCAGGTGAGACGGCCTCAGCTGTGATGGGCATCGATTTCTGTGACTCAACACAAGCTGCAAACTTCCAGCTGTGGTGAGACGGGTTCTGTTTCTTAACTTCCCTCATGATTCTGTGGGTCCTTCGTGTTCTCGTAGTACTGGGTGAAAACAGGCACAAAACTGATGCTGTTAATATATGACCCTGTTTTGTAATTGTAAAAACGGTTAGCTTTGCATGAGTCTGGAAGTAAAATACTGTTTTAGACTCAGGATTATTTCAATATGTCCTCCTACCAGTATTTGTGTACTACACTGAGAAATAAAGTAATTCAAGCATTAGTTGTCATTTTAGAAAATATATGTTTAAATGCATTTGTCTTTGTCTCTCTTATTTTACAGCACCCACCGCAGGAAGTTCTTCGTGTCGATCCAGCCTCCGGTCGGGGAGCTGATGAGACCCGTCTTCCTGACGGAGAACGAGTTTAAAAAGGAGCAAGGTGAGTGATTCAACTTAATAAAGGTATTATATTAAGGAATATAAAACCTCTGACTTTATGGCCATCACATTAAAACTAGTATTTCAAAGTGGGAAGTTAGCTACTACTGAATATCTGAACTGGGTACAAGTGATGTCTCGTATTTCCTTTTTCTTTCTGCTTGTTTATCTTCTTTGATATTTTCAGCCTAAAAGATTAATTAGCACATAGAGTGTATGCAGTCCATTTCCCCCACAATTTCATATATTGGTCGTATATGCTCACTACAGAATATGAAACAAGTCCATTTGTGTGGGTTTTGGGACAGATCATACATTTTTTCTGGCCTATTTAAATATACCAGCATTTTCCGATCCATACAGTACTAATTGTTTAGTAGAGCAGCGACAGACGACAGTTAGCAGCATGTATCTGTTGTTTTGTGTTCATTTCCCATCCAGAGAGACAGACACAGACAGACAGACAGACAGACAGACAGACAGACAGACAGGATACTACAGTACATTAGCCAATTTTGCACTTTTAAAATGTAATTGCAGTGAGTTAAAGTGTAAGTTATGTGAATATAGTGAGCAGAGTTATGAACGTTTTACAGCTCACAAACCCGTAGTGACTCTTTAAACATGTGTCATGTCCACGGTGTCTCCCTCTTCATACTGTCCCCATAGAGAAGCTTTTACTTGGTAAGTTCATAGATTTGATTTTCCCACCTGCCTCTCAGCTAACCTCACACAGACCCTCACCTCCCCCCCCTCCCTCCTGCCTTGGTTATCAGACTCACCTGTGCTAACTGCATCTGATTAAAGGCCGCTCACGCTCTGCTGCACCGGGAATGGAAATGCTCATCTGTTCACTGATCCTGATTCACTTTTAAAGCACCGCGGGAAAAATTATAATAATAATAAATTGTATTTGTAAAGCACCTTTCATCGCTAAAAGTAATCCCAAAGTGCTACAAGGGGTGTAAAAGATTGAACACCCGGCCGGTTCATGTTTCTGTTAGCTTAGCTTTCAAGCTGCTGATGACCACTGACCATGTTGGGATATTTATGTTATACAGTTTTGTTTGTGATTTTGCAGGTCAAGAGCCAACATTTGTTTGAAATAATGTGTGGCATGTTTGGTTGATAAATGACCGGATGAGTCACTTATGCTGTTTGTACATAGACATTCAAATGCTTTCGAAACAACAATTAAGACGTTTCAACCAGTTTATTCAAGTCTTTAACTGGATGTCTTCTTGTCTTTTGACCTGCAAATCAGTACAGAAAACTCCCCAAAGGTGAAACTGCATTGGTGCAATATGTCTAACTTTTTATCAACATTCAAACATCATGAACTAATTTGCTTTTTTATTTTTTAAATTAACAAACTCACACTTTCCCCCCTCTACTGTGTTCAGTGCGAGCATCCGTGCATTCCAGTTTAGGTTGCAGTGTTGTTTTGTAATCATTGATGTATTGACTCAAATCACTGTAGTGTTATCCCTGAATTCAGTATCTGTATTTAATACTGTATATTAGGGCTGCACGATATTGAAAAAAACTGACTTTTTCCCCTGCGATATATATTGCGTTTTTTTTAACTATATTTAACCGGATGAAGGATTTTAGTCACGGACGTCTGGATCTTAACTGGTTGACTCATCATACCTTAAGTCATGATCCAACATTTCATGATAATGCATGTTGCTTACCCTCAAATAAGGGGGTTCATCTGTGAATGAAGAAGAGAAGAACCTTTTTGTATCTAAAATAGTTCCAGATGGCAGATGTTGCTTTTCTTTTTGGAAGTAAATCTTCATTCTCGCCGGTATTGTCCTCCTGTGCCTCGCTCATTTTTTACCGGTGTTTTGATGGTCTGCAAACTAGCGGGGCGGGGCCTGCTGTGATCTGATGAAGAATGATTGTGATTGGTTGTTTGCTGTGCATGCAGAGCCTGCATGTCACTCACTCAAGTACCCCTGACATGAGAGCCGCGCAAGTTTTCCTTTTGTAGCAAGCAGCAAAAATAATTGTAACATGACGTGTTTGAGTTAATGTACCTACGTAATATCGAGAGTCCTAAAAAAAATAAAAAAAATAAAAATTATTATAAAAAATTAATAAAATCGCACGTCCCTGCCATGTGAATATCGCGCATGCGCATATCGCAGTTATCGCCATTACACGATATATCGTTCAGCCCTACTGTATATGTCTGTAGCTGAAAGAATAGAATAGATGTTACTTTATATATAAAACGGCACTGTATTGAGTCCCCACACTGATACAATCAGCCCTTTGTGAAGTATTGCTTTATGACTAATGACTGCTTTGCATTTTATGCTACCTGGGAATATACAATAAGTTGCAGCAACGACTTTGAATCTCTTTTCCCGGTCTGACTCGTGCTCGCTCCTCTGCAGGTCAGCTGATGGGGATGAACGAGATCTCGGAGAAGCTAACGCTGGACGTGAAGTGCCGGAACGAACACGCCATCGTGCAGAGGGTGATCACCGCCGCCAACCTCAGCAGAGTGCCCTGTGGGTCCGATAAAGAGTGCCGGTGAGAAGATCAGAATAAATATTCACTAGGAAACCTTCCAAATATATCTGTGCTGTATGATGTATGTGAGATAAAGATACATCATGCCTTAAAGGTGGGGTAGGTCATTCACTTCAGAAACACTTGTTATATTCCATGGAATGCTCTTAACATCCCGATAGCAATGAATATATTAAATGCTTTGACAATAAATACATAAAAAAATGTCATCTGTGGAAGCCGTGGCGCTGTAAAAAGCTCGACCAATCATCTGAGCCGGCCCGGCTAAAGTAACTGGATGGCCTACCTGCCTTTCAGCCTTCCATCTGTGCACAAACTTATGTCGTGCCCTCATTGGTCATGTGCACGTTCGTGTGTGTTGGAGGAGGGGCTCTGTAAGGAAGTCTGTAAGGAATAGGGGCAGATTTTTTTCGGCTGCTTACTTTCGAATTCTAGCACACTCGAGCTGGTTTCTCCATTCTTACCTACCCCACCTTTTAAAGTTCATCAAAAATATAAGATCTCATGTCTAATATCCTGTTTATATTCACACTTTTAAGCTTCATATTTTTGTAAAAGCTAGTTTGTGTGATGTTTTTAAATCCATTTATTGTTAATGTATCCAATATATATGGTTGAGAAGCTTAAACAGTATTACAAACTGGTACACTGTTTGTGGTTGGAGCAGATTTCGTTTTGAAAGGGTCTGTACCCACAATGTGTTAAATAATTACATTTAAAAAAAGAGAACCTACTATTCATCTCCCTCTAGTGGTTTAAGACCAGTGTTGAGGAAGTTCTCAGGTATAATCTTAGACCGTAAAAAAGTATTATAAGTTATATTAGTGATGTAAGTAATATAGTATATAAAGTAGACTGAATATAAAGGGTATAATACTTAAAGTATTATTAACATAGTGTAGAAATACTCTTTTACTAATTAAAGTCATGCCTTTTTCCATTAGAATGGAATTATAATTAAAGTGTCATTAATAATTATTAATGCTTGTTATTTTCTTAGTAACAGATTAATTGTTTACTCTGTAATACACAAGAAACCTCTGAAGAATACGTAGTGTTTTGTTTGATCTTCTATGTGATTTTTTTAGATAAAAAAATCAAAATCTGAAACGTAACCAGTTAGTACACTCGCCAAAAATAAAAAGTGGAGAAAAAAGTTTAATATTTCCTTTTGAAATTAGAATAATGGGGGAAAAACATTGAAGCACAAAAAGCTTTCATGCAAATATATTTCTAGCATTGTGAGTAAAGTGTATTATATTAGAATTGTTGTAACCCTGCTAATCGACGCCTCTCTCTTTTATTCTGTTGCTTCGTCTTTGTTTCCGATCTTTCGCTGCTCTGACCTCAGTCCTCCTCTTCCTCCTCCTCTTCCTCCCGTCCACAGGTTCGGGGGCCGCACGGTGACCAGCGGCAGCCTGGTGTTAGCCACCGTGTCGTCCCGAGAGGATGGGGCCGCCCAGCTGACGGTCAACTGTGAGAAGATGGTGATCGGCACCATGCTGGTGAAGGACATCCTGCTGGCGCTGACGCAGTGACCTGTGACCTTTCTGACCCCTCAGCCCCCCCCCC